CCCCCGCTGCGCCCGCAGGTAACGCTTCAGGTCCCCCTGAAACAGCCCCAAAATAACCCAAAATAACCCAAAAAACAGCCCCAAAATAACCCAAAAAACAGCCCCAAAATAACCCAAAAAACAGCCCCAAAACAGCCCCAAAATAACCCAAAAACCAGCCCCAAAACAGCCAAAAAACAGCCCCAAAATAACCCAAAACAGCCCCAAAATAACCCAAAAAACAGCCCCAAAATAACCCAAAAACAGCCCCAAAACAGACAAAAAACAGCCTCAAAAACAGACAAAAAACAGCCCCAAAACCAGCCCCAAAACAGCCAAAAAACAGCCCCGAATCAGCCCAAAAACAGACAAAAAACAGCCCCAAAATAACCCAAAACAGCCCCAAAATAACCCAAAACAGCCCCAAAAACAGCCCCAAAACCAGCCCCAAAACCAGCCCAGAAACAGCCCAAAACCAGACAAAAAACAGCCCCAAAATAACCCAAAATAACCCAAAACAGACAAAAAACAGCCCCAAAACAGCCCCAAAACAGCCCAAAACAGACAAAAAACAGCCCAAAAAACAGGCCCAAAACAGCCCCAAAATAACCCAAAAGAGCCCCAAAATAACCCAAAACAGCCCAAAAACAGCCCAAAAAACAGCCCCAAAACGGCCCCAAAACAGACAAAAACCAGCCCCAAAACAGACAAAAAAAGCCCCAAAATAACCCAAAACCAGCCCAAAAACAGACAATAAACAGCCCCAAAATAACCCAAAACAGCCCCAAAATAACCCAAAACAGCCCCAAAAACAGCCCAAAAACAGCCCAGAAACAGCCCAAAAACAGACAAAAAGCAGCCCCAAAATAACCCAAAACAGCCCCAAAATAACCCAAAAAACAGCCCCAAAATAGACAAAAAACAGCCCCAAAACAGACAAAAAACAGAAAACGGGAGGGAATAAAAAAAATTAAAATTTGTGTGAATAAAACCCCAAATACCCCACAATAATCCCAAATAACCCCAAAATTCCCCTCAAAATTCCCAAAATTCCCCCAAAAATCCCTTCCAGGGCCCCTCGAAATTCCCAGAAATTCCCAGAAATTCCCAAAAATTCCCCAAATCCCCCCAAATTTCTAAAAATCTCCCCCCAAATCCCCCCAAATTCCCCCCAAAATTCCCCAAAATTCCCGAAATCCCTCCAAAATCCCCCAAATTTCCCCAAAAATCCCCCAAATTCCCCCCAAAAATTCCCAAAATCCCTCCAAAATTCCCCCAAAATTCCCCCCAAAAATCCCCAAATTTCCCCAAAATCCCCAAAATTCCCCCCAAAATTCCCAAAAATTCCCCAAAATCCCCAAAATTCCCCCCAAATCCCCTCCAGGACCTCCCAAAATTCCCCCCAAAATCCCAAAAATTCCCCCAAAAATTCCCTCAAATTCCCAGAAATTCCCCAAAATCCCCAGAAATCCCCGGAAATCCCCGGAAGGTCCCGGAAGGTCCCGGAAGGTTCCGGAAGCGCCGGGAATTCCGCGCTCACCATCTGGCAATATTCCATGACGAGCAGCAGCGGCCGCTCCCGGCACCCCCCGAGGCACCGCAGCAAATTCGGGTGGCGAAGGGTCCTGAGGGGCCCAGAATTCCCAAATTTCCCAAATTTTCCCAAATTTTCCCCAAAATTCCCAAATTTCCCAGGGGTCCCAGCCCCGGGGAGCCCCAAATCCGGGAATTCCGGGTGAAATTTCACCCAAAACACCCCAAATTCTCCACCCAAAACACCCAAAATTCTCCCAAAATTCCACCCAAAATTCCAGCCAGGGACCCCAAAATCCTCAAATTCCACCCAAAATTCCCCAAAATTCCCAAATTTTCCCAAATTTTCCCCAAAATTCTCGAATTTCCCAGGGGTCCCGGCACCGGGGAGCCCCAAATCTGGGAATTCCGCAGGAAATTTCACCCCAAACACCCCAAATTCAGCCCTGGGAAGGCTCAAAATCTGGGAATTCTGCCCAAAATTCCCCCCGGAATTCCCCAAAATTCCCAAATTTTCCCAAATTTTCCCAAATTTCCCCGAATTTCCCCGAAATTCCCGAATTTCCGAGGGGTCCCAGCCCCGGGGAGCCCCAAATCCGGGAATTCCGGGTGAAATTCCACCCAAAACACCCCAAATTCTCCCCAAATTCTCCCAAAATTCCACCCAAAATTCCAGCCAGGGACCCCCAAAATCCTCAAATTCCACCCAAAATTCCCCAACATTCCCAAATTTTCCCAAAATTCCCAAATTTCTGGCCCCGAGGAGCCCCAAATCCGGGAATTCCGGGTGAAATTCCACCCAAAACTCCCAAAATTCAGCCCTGGGAAGGCTCAAAATCCGGGAATTCTGCCCAAAATTCCCCCCAGAATTCCCCAAAATTCCCAAATTTTCCCAAATTTTCCCAAATTTTCCCAAATTTTCCCAAATTTCCCCAAAATTCCCAAATTTCCCAGGGGTCCCGGCCCCGGGGAGCCCCAAATCCGGGAATTCCGGGTGAAATTCCACCCAAAACACCCCAAATTCTCCCCAAATTCTCCCAAAATTCCACCCAAATTCCATTTTTGGGGTGGTTTTGGGATATTTTGGGACATTCCAGGTGGGTTTTTTTTGGTGTTTTTGGGGTGATTTTGGTGTATTTTGGGTGTTTTGGGGTGTTTTGGGGTGTTTTTGTATATTTTTGAGGTGTTTCTGGGTGTTTTTGAGGTGTTTTAGGGTGTTTTCGGGTGTTTTTGGGTAATTTTGAGGTGTTTTTGAGGTGTTTTTGGGGTGTTTTGGGGTGTTTTGAGGTGTTTTGGGTGTGTTTTTGGGGTGTTTTTTGGGTTATTTTGGGGTGTTTTCGTATGTTTTTGAGGTGTTCTTGGTGTGTTTTTGGGTAATTTTGGGTGGTTTTGGGGTGGTTTTGAGTGTTTTGGGGTGTTTTGGGGTGCTTTTGGGTGTTTTTGGGGTGTTTTGGGGTTATTTTGGGGTGTTTTTGTATGTTTTTGTGGTGTTTTTGGTTGTTTTTGGGTGTTTTGGGATGTTTTGGGGTGTTTTGTGGTGTTTTGGGGTGTTTTTGGGTGTTTTTGGGATGTTTTTGGGGTGTTTTTGGGTAATTTTGGGGTGTTTTTGGGTGTTTTTGGGGTGTTTTGGGGTGTTTTTGTATGTTTTTGGGTGTTTTTGGGTGTTCTTGGTGTGTTTTTGGGTAATTTTGGGTGTTTTTGGGGTGTTTTTGGGGTGTTTTTGGGGTGTTTTTGGGGTGTTTTTGGGGTGTTTTTGGGTACCTGTAGGGCTCAGCCTCAGCCAGGAACCGCCTCCTCTCGGGGGTCCCGGCCCCCGCCCGCA